CGCACAATGCTGCGACACGGCCGCCCTTGGCCTGGGTCGGCCATCGGTGGCCGGTTGCCAGCTGACATTTCCATTTCAGTCGGGCTGAATAATGCGCCCGCTCTGGGACCCAGTGTCGCCGGATCACGAGTCCAGCATTTTCCCCTTCACCACGGAGGCGGCAGCCGGAGGACTTCACCTGGTGCTTGGTGCGCCGCGCCGAGGCTGATCGGGACTGGGCTGGCGTCGTCCCATTCTCTAGCTGCCGGAGCTCGTCCAACACCGCAAGCCTGCAGTCTCTGCTGCGAAGCGCTGTTCCGGGCCGCAGAAGGAATGCCACCCACAGCGGCGTACAGCAACGGCCCGCCGACGCTCTACAGCCCCGCAGAACAGAGAGCGTGTGGCGTCTGGCCGACCAGCCGACGTGGCTAGAACCGCTGATCATGGCTACGGCAAGGCAGACGGACGTGTGCATTGTGTGGGTGGGGTGCCTCCGGTGAGACGGGAGTATGCTCGCGTGCATTTACATTGCTCTTGACCTGTCACCCTTGCAGCGTTGGCAGCTGAGTGTTTCGTCTGAAAGAGGTGCTTCAGTTTGGCCACGTTCCACGTTTGCACCAAGCTATGAAGTTGCGCTGCCAGTTTGACACGGAATATGATGCACTTACGATAAGCTAATAACACAACTAAATAAAATGAAGGAATTTTTATTTGAGTTGTACAACTCTACAGATGTGCAGCCAGCACCAGTCATGACCTGGATACGCGGGGCTCTTTAGGAACAGCATGCATGCGGCTTGAGCGGGGTGCGAGTAGCTGGCACTCACCACAATGAAAACTAGCTTAGTACGTTTTAACATTTAGATAGCAAAGGCTGTTCTTTGGAATACGCATGTCCGCGGCGTGCCAGATCCTAGGCCCCATGTCAGTCTGCCCAGCCCTGTGCCTGCGGACACCAAAGCTGCAGCTCTACCGCTGGACAAATTTGTACGAGGCTACGAACAAAGACAGGTTGTCAAGACTTATCCAAAATTTTAGTCGGAATTCTAGATTCTCGGTAGGGTGGTAACTGCCACCTGTCTCCGCGCAACCGACCCGCCCGGCCCGTTTTGCAGCTAAACCATGTGGGACGCAAACTTTTTGCATGCTTTTCCTTCTTGCCATCTCCACTCTTATTGCTCGGACAGAAGAGTAGTTTCCTGCTTATTTGGGGGAGGGTTTCAGCCCCTCCAGCCTAGGTTCCAGGCCCCCCCCCCCGGACTAAGGAAAAAAGTGAGCCAGATCTGTGGAAAATTCGTTTGTTGGCGTATTCTGCGCGTACTTTCCGGCATCTTCCATTGATAAGCCCCCGGCCCGCATTTCATTTTCCGAACCTACGCCCCTATACCCGGTCGTTTCCCAGTTCGAGAGCCGGCTATGACTTCACGGATCTATTTGACCGACCGAGACCTGCTGGTTACTTCGTGCCGGCGCGTGGTCCGTAATCCACTTGTGGCGTAGCAGGCAATGGTTGTGAAGTGTTTGCACCACTCTCGTGGCACATTTTCGAGCGATCCTACTCAAATGGTTCGGTATTTGAGTATATGCGAGCTGCTGTTACCTTTACCACTTAAGCAAATATATGCGAAAAACGAGGTATGACAGCTTTTTACAGAAAAAAATGTTGGGTGTCGCGCATAAGAGCTTTCATTTTCATTCGATTGTGGATAGTCAACGAAGTACGCAGAGGTCTTCCACAAATCACGTTACGCATAAAAGGCAGGAGCCGAGGAAGCGTAACGGTAACAAGGAAGAGATTGGGAAGCTTTGGACAGTGCTTACGGTCGTGTGTTGTTGCTAATTATGCCAAAAGCTGAGAATAAATCGAGCTAGATGCCTTTTCTACTAAACCCGGATTCCTTTTATTGCAAGCAACACTTCTTTGTCCTCGCACCTTTAGCTCACATAGATAGCAATTCGAGGTTACTCTTTGGGACGTCACACTTAACACAGCAAACCAGGGAACGCGGGAGTGCCACGCCCTTACTTTTATTGTCAATACTTGTACAGAGGGGTGCGGGAGCGATTTCAAAGAGTACACGTTTGGGGGGGGGGGAGACCATACCAAACCAATTTTCCACCGACAGGGTGTGCGAACTGAAAAACAAACAGGAGCTATCGTACATGCTGACAGCACTACTAAGGTCTGGGCCGCTGGCGGACTCCTGCAATCAACAAGAGCACGGATGCTGACGGCTTCAGCGTTCTCAGCTGGTCGCCTTGGGCTGGTTACAAACTACACACTGCTATATCGTTGCAGCCATCAATGCCAGCAGGCATCGGCCGGCGCCTTCTCGTGCCCGCCCAGCCAAGGCTCTTGTCCGCGTGAGCCGCAGCGCGCCCTCGGGCCGTCTAGGACCGCAGGACGACGTCGATGGTCGACACGCAGGACGCAGTCAAACGCAGGCGACCAGGCCTCCACAGGCAGCGAGCGGGCAGCACTTGAGCGCGCCGGGGCACTGGTGGTCATCCGAGCAGGCGAACTTGGGCAGCGGGGCAGCCGACGATGTCAGTGCTGACCGGGCAAAACGTCGCCTTCTGGGAGAGGGTGACGCAGCGGCCGTCGCAGCAGCCCGTGAAGGCACCGGTGCAGTCGGCGGGGCCGGTGCACGTGCCGTTGGGGTGCTGTTCAGGCAGCACCAGAGGTCTGACCGGGCTCGGGCAGCCTGCGGAGGTCTGCGGTGGAGTCAAGGTAAGCTGGCCAGTCTCCTCAGGTAGCGTGCAGCCGCGGCCACCACAGGTCTCACGCGGAGCCTAGGTCAGGACAACGTCTCACGCGGGCCGGGGTCAGGACACGTCTCACGCGGAGCCTAGGTCAGGACACGTCTCACGCGGGCCGGGGTCAGGACATGTCTCACGCGGAGCTGAGGTCAAGATGTCTCACGCGGAGCCGAGGTCAAGACATGTCTCACGCGGAGCTGAAGTCAAGACACGTCTCACGCGGAGCTGAGGTCAATACACGTCTCACGCGGAGCTGAGGTCAAGACACGTCTCACGCGGAGCTGAGGTCAAGACAACGTCTCACGCGGAGCCTAGGTCAGGACACGTCTCACGCGGAGCTGAGGTCAAGACACGTCTCGCGCGGAGCTGAGGTCAGGGCACGTCTCACGCGGAGCTGAGGTCAAGACACGTCTCACGCGGAGCTGAGGTCAGGACACGTCTCACGCGGAGCCGAGGTCAGGACACGTCTTACGGGGAGCCGAGGTCAGGAGTCTCAGGACACGTATTTCACACGGTATGGACATTCAAGGTATGGACATATGGACTAGACAAACGAACATATTTCCTTAACATGATAAATTCCCATAATCCCGCTATCTGACTAACCATCAAACACACGTTTGGAACAGGGCCCATACCATTTATTGATATTTGTACTGCAGTGCACCCGTTCGCAGAGTACCCTACTGAGCTTCTCTCCAAGCCCATGGCAGCCCCATTATCCCCAGTCTCAACTCAGCCGATCCCATGAGCACGCAAAGAGCTGTGCCTCATTCACAGATGGCAGGCGCAGTTCGGTGTTCGTCAGACAGGTCGGGCATTGGCCGCAGCCTCCGAAACGTGGTGGGTTTGTACAACAAAAACGGCCATCCAGAGCACTTCACCAACTGCGCCGATATCACTTCCAAATATCTCCTAACAACAGCCAGAGACACAAACCTAACCAGCTGGCGTGCATGCGCCGGCCGTATGTCGATAGGATGCTAGTTGAGCGGGTATCAATAATCGGGTCAACGAATAATCAGGACACCTACCAGGGTGGCTTGAGTCAGCGGGCCAACCCAGAGACAAGGCCTGGCACGGCCAGCCTTAACAAAGTCGTCCTGTCCAGCGGGCCGTCAACGCCGCCATACCTGAGACTGTGGTTTATCTGGTAAGTGCCCTTGAAAGACGTAGTGTGCAAAAACACAGGCGGCGAAACGGAAGGGTGCGTCGGGTTTTACGGAGGCGACAGCCGGCTACTAGTCCCGTACCGGGTCGGGTTTCATGGAGGCAGGAGCGGGGTACCAGTCCCGTATCGTGTCGGGTTTTACGGTGGCGATAGTGGGATACCAGGCCCGTATCAGTTCAATCAACATCTTGGAGACGTCCGTTTACGTGGGATTCGTTTATTCGGTTTGGATCCGTGATCCAAACCCTGAACCGTAAACTTATCAACAAACCGTGATCGCTCCGAGACCAAAATCAATCGATCCACATGAGAAATTTCAAGCTAACCCTTAAAAAAATGACGCATATTGGTACCGATGCATAGAGAGTCGTAGACATGTTTTCGGCAGACGTTTGATTTGACATGTTATCTCCCGAACAGCAGTCATTGATGACACTGGGGTGAGTGTAACCTTGCGTTTGAAGGAAAGGGAAGAAAGTTTACAACCGGTCGATGTCTTGAGGCCAAAAGCTCGTTGTTCATTTTTGGTTTGTTTTTTATGTTAAATATATGATTATGATATGTCATGCAATTAATCATATGCAGTCTTGCTATGCGTTCTTACCATAAAGTATGTCACGGTGTGATATTTTAATGATATATTCAGTGCAATCAAGAAAAGGAGACGTTTTCGCCAGGCGAAACGACGCGCAGCGTTACCCAATGAAAAGCCTATTGTTGCTTGTATGCCCGTGTTCTAAGTTCTGATTTCGAAAGTATCAGTTGCCGATAGGAACTGCTGAGCTAGATATCGCTTTTGAAAATGCAACGACGGTGCATCCGAAACATTTTTCGACGAAAATAGGTCCAGGCGACGCATGCTTTCTGGTGAACTGCTGCTTCATCCACCAATCAGCCGCGTCAAAAGTGACGTTCGAAAATTGAAAACGTAACCAGAAACTTTCCAAGTGCAAAATGTCGTACTTTTTATTCAAGAGAGAGAGAGAGAGAGAGAGAGAGAGAGAGAGAGAGAGAGAGAGAGAGAGAGAGAGAGAGAGAGAGAGAGAGAGAGAGAGAGAGAGAGAG